TTTTTTGCAGAACCTACAAAGGCACTGCTTGAACAGATCTGGATACATAGGGTATGTTTGGTTACATGGCTTCCTTCTAGCCTGGCTACGAAATAAGCCAGGCTAGCCTAAGACGGCCTTCCAGCAAGCCAAGATAGACTTGTTTGGTTGCCTACACTATCTAAGTTTGACTATCAACTAGTTTGTTTGGTTGCCTTGTTTAGCTTGGATAGAGTCACCTCTTCTTTAGACAAGTAACTTCACCGCCTTTGAAGCAATTCGTCGAACACCTTTAAGGCGGGTAGACAAAGCGGAGGAGAGCAGAGGCCATGGACAATCGAACCGGCCGATGCCTCCCTAAGAGGAAGGGTGGTGCAGTTCATAGAATTATCAATGCATACGAGCAATAATGTAGTTCCACATTTATTTATTATTGTTTACAGAATGTTGACAAAACTGATAGTCCAACAACATCCCCTGTTCGCTTGATGACCGTGACAGCAGCAGTAGCAGAGCATCCTCCTCCTCCTGCTAACACGACGCTAGCAGTATGGAGGCTCGGACTTGCAGTAGCCTGGTGGTGGAGGAGCAGCTGAAGGGAGTGGCAGTGCCGCCGGAGCTTGTCCCGCTCAGTAGCCGCGGAGGACACGAGCGCCGCGCGGTTGGTGCGCGGTGCGCGACACGTGGAGCTCGGCCAGCACATGGACCAGCGCTCGCCGGAGCTCCGGCGCCGTGGTCAAGTTCAGCTGCTGGTGCGTGCGGGTGCGTGTAGAGCCGCCACTGCTCGAGTCTCCGGATCCCGTCGCGCTCCTCGAGTCCGAATCCCGCCGGCGCCATGGGACCTCAACGCCGGGGACATGGTCGGAGTGCTCGACGACGACAGCTGCGGCAGGGGGCGGGGGCTGGAAGAAGCGAGGGAGGTGACGCGATTCACATCCGAGGCCACCGACGGCCTAGCCAAGCCTGACCAGCGAAAAACGGATCCCCAAGTCGTTTTTCTGGAGCCAGGCTAGCCAAACAGCTTAAAGTTGGCTACCGAAGCATGGTTGAAGGTTAGCCACCCAACCAAACAGGCCTATAATGTCAATATGGATTCTGCGACTACCAGCCACACTGTAGCATTGGCGTGGCCTCGGCAGGCAAACCAAACTCTGTCTGCGCTCCAGTCTGGGGAAAGTGAATGAATTCATTAATGATCCATTACAAGAAAATGTACACGATGGAACAGAGTTTTATTAGAACCAAAAAACCATAAAGGAGTTTCAGAGTTGTGAGAAAAACAGTTTCCACGGGATAATAATCCACCAAACAGCCCCGGTCTGCCGTTAGTCGTCCTCTAGCTGATAGGAGCATTGCTTGATGCCCCTTTGAAGTACTTTTTAACCCAAGTTCATCACAATTCATCCATGAGACTAATCCTTATGTACTAAAAGATATTGTTAGGCATTTATTAGGCATGTCGTGATACAACCACAAAGTTCGCATTACAAATTTACAACGATAGTGATCCTTACACACAGAACACAAGTTGCAATTCAGGTTCAGACCCCAGGCGGCAGCACTGAAGATACACTGACCAGACAGGAATATGCCACTGTAAAACATCACTAACTAGAAGGAAAATCGTGTGGTTAATTATAACTCACGACGGCAAACAAGTGGACAGAAGTGATTTACAGCTTCAAACTACCATGATGGCCCAACACACCATTTGTCGACCCAAAGCTACAATACCACAAAACTTTTGATAAATGAAAATACTGTCATCAGTCTGGAACAAATAACAAAAACAGCTAACACCTTTCAAGCACCTAAAAAAACTGGTGTTTTGAACAACCTGACAAACCAATGAAAAGGAACAAAGGTTAAACAGTATTCATTCATGACTTCTGTTACAATTATCCAGTACATACTGAGCAGTGTCCTGAACTTTCACCTCCTACTGGAACAAAGTTGTGATACTGTACATTTTCGAGAAGGAAGGAAAAGGAAACAAGAAGGATCTGCTGTCAGAAATATCTCCAAATAATTTACTGCTCTCAAATAGCGCACTGCATACATTTCATCTTATTTCCTGACTAGTGTTGTTCAGTCCAACCTATCAGATGAAATCTCCATAGTGTCCTAGTGGTCTGACATAGAAATATGTTACTGTGCCCTTCAGAAGAAATGTGCAAGGAGCACTTTTCTTGGAATATCAGATTGGAGTGAAATCCAAGCTGCTCACAGGTGGACAGTGCATCAACTTTCTTCTGTTCCATTAGTTCTGCTTTCAGATGACACGTCACAGTTTGGTCCAGCAGTAATGCTGCTAGCCACATTCAGTTCATTGTTTCTGTTTCCAGAAACTGCATGGCCATTTTGTCCAGGGTTTCCGTTACCTGCTGCACATTGGCTAGAAGGTGTTCCAGCATTCCTTTTACCTAGAATCTCTAGTTTTTTGGCCTTATGTTTTTTGCCTCCAATATGAGCGCCAAAATTGAACTCAGTGACACAATCAACCTTGCAAATTTTGCACCAAAAGGATGGCACCACATTTGGTCTGGGACACTGCAGAATCTGTGATGGAAGATGCGGAACTTTCACCTTTTTCTTTGAGGGATACCAATTTTGAGGCTGTTTCTGTCCAGTTACACAACTGAAACTAGACTGCTGTGGAGGCACACTGGTCTGAGGAGCTAATTTTCTCTTAATCACATCAGGTACTGATCCTGTACTGACATCCTGAAAATTGAAAGTATTTATTAGTTACGAAAAATGGGAACTTAGCATGAAGAATCCTACAAAAAAAACATCATAGGCCAAAATATCATGCTTCCAGACAACACAGATTTTGAACACCTAATAAAACAGTGAATATAGCTACGACTGATAAGTATGTAATTTGTTTTCCATAATGGATAGGTTTTGGTTTCCAGAATTATTCATAACAGAATAAAATGGAAAATATGTTTTTTTAATAAGTAAAGGCGACTATGTGTTGACAGAAAGGAGAAAAAAAGAGAACCAAACCAAGCTAGACCCTGGCTCTCCATGTCTAAACACTAATGAAAACTAAAATACATCCCTCCCACAGGACCATTGGAACTCTAAACATCAGGGCTGTACCAACTCACTGTACTGTTGCAAGCTATTACAGGCTAGATTGTCACAACTGTGGGACTATGGAAGCTGAAGTATTCTGGTTATCTGAAGTAAAGATTTCTGAAACAGAAGCTGAACAGAACACTAAAGAAAAAACAACTGTATGCCAAAAGAAAATGCATGGCCAGAACCATTTCATTCATGGTTTTATGATATAGAAAGCCCTAAAGTGGAAAAAAAAATGTCATTTGCAAAACCATCCTTGCATTCCAACTACTGAAGATTAAAGCCTTGTGTGTGTTATTCCAGAGAACGAATACAAACAAAATCTGAAAAGAGTAAACAGGATAGTAACTTATGGAGCTAAAATGTTGATCCCAATTCCCAAAATTGATCACAACTTGAGCAATGTTAATGAGTTCCAGGTAGTCTGAAGTGGCAATTCAGAACAAACAAACAGTAAATACAACGCTGCCATCGATCTGAAGCCATCACTGTGTGCGCCTACTTGCATCTGAAAAAAAAAACGTGGGACTGAGCACTAACTGAGAGAACAAATGGCCCAGTTATGCAATCGGAAGCTGAACAGACACTAAAGAAAAAACAACTGTATGCCAAAAGAAAATGCACGGCCAGAACCATTTCATTCATGGTTTTCTGATATAGAAAGGCCTAATAAAGTGGAAAAAATGTCATTTGAAAACCATCCGCATTCCAACTACTGAAGATTCAAGCCTTGTGTGGCTTACTCCAGAGACAGAACAAAAACAAAAATCTGGAGAGAACAAGTAAGACAGTAACTTATGGAGCTAAAAATGTTGATACAAAATTGATCATAACTTAGGCACTGTTAATGAGTTCCAGGTAGTTTGAAGTGGCAATTCAGAACAAACAAACAGTAAATACAGCGTGGGCATCTAACTGAATCCATCACCGTGTGCGCCTACTTGCATCTGGAAAAAAAAATGTGGGATTAAACTGAGCACTAACTTAGAGAACAAATGGCCCAGTTATGCCAATGTGAAATTCATCCACGGGTCACATACCCCTAAATTCCTTGAAGCACGTTTGCTAACTGTAACGCTTAGTAGTAATACAAAGTTCATCAGACCAGAACCTTACCCTCTGCATTTCAGGGGCTCCACAAATTCCGACAAGCAGATGCGGGTGGGTCCTCTCCACCCACTTGTGGTACTCCATCTCCCTCCTCAGAGCCTCCTCGAAGGTGATGGTAGCACAAGCCGATGGTGCATTAGATCTCTGCATGCTTGAAGGCAGGCAGCAACTAACCACGCCTGCTCACAGGAACCAAGTGATCCTCAGCTATCAAAATGGACACCTATCGAAACTGAAGCATCATAGTGGCGGCCCGCATGGTTGTACGCCTGATATTTTTTTTTTCTTCTTTGTAATGAAATTAGTAGGCACAATGGAATGTAATTCGATCAGATCCGAATACAAGTGGGATAAGCTAGGGTTTGGGTGCTCGGTTTCGCACAGCAGGAAGGGAAGAGAAGGGTTGAGCCTACCTGGTGCGTGCTCGTCGCCGGCCCGACGGAGAGCAGGCGGCGGCGGTTGCCCAGTCGTGCCGAGTCAACTGACAGAGAAGGACGCGGGTGGATGGGTTGTGGCCGCAGCCCGCAGGGGCAATCGCAGGGGGATGGGTTGATGACGATGAATTGTATCGTGGGCCGTTCGTGGGCCTTCTTGATGTACTACTGCGGACGCGGGGCTTAGTGATCAGCAGCCCATACCAGATGAGCCCGACCGACCGCGGGTCGACGCGCACGCACGAAATACACGAGCAGGTCTCCTCCGCTGAGGCGCTGACTCGTAGCAGCGCGTCGACCAGACTCCAGAGCAGACCCGGCCGGCCTGGTGGAGGAGGAGGAGGAACAGGAACGGGATAGCAGACGAGAGGAGAGATCGCGCACGCCATGTCAGGTTCGTCCGCCGCTTCCCTTCCCCTTCCCCCGTCCCTTGCATCCCTACATCCCCAATCCGCGCACAATTTCTCGATGGGACTGCTCGATTCGTCCCGAAACCTGCCTCCCGCGAAGAATTCGAGCGATTGGTGCCTTGGGGAGCTCGATTAGGGACCCGATTTCGCCCGCAACCTGCGTGGCAGAACGGTCGGTCTCCTTTTCCCCTCTCCCCCATGGTGGAGAGGGCGGTTCCGGGGGGACGCGGCCGTATGGGTATGGATTTGTTGAGGAATCGCGCGGATTTGTTGCCAGCAGCGCTGCTGGTTAATCTGCTGGCGGTGCTCGATCCGTTCTCTGCTAGGCTCCGGGTAACTCTGTTCTGTTGCGCTTGCTTGCTGTAGCGTCCACGCTGTTCTGGCGCGGCACAGCGCCGCTTGCTTGCTTCGCCTGGGGAATATGCTAGCATCAGGCAAATTACATATCTTCTGAGGATCCTCTTGCCCTGCATGGTTCATCCACTCCTGACCCTTTGGATTTCTATTGTTCATGTTCAGCAGTGGGAGGATCTAGGCAATAAGCTTTGCCAAATACATTTAACCCCCTTCATAAATTTTATAATCATATGTTGATTGTGCAATGATTGTGTTATTTGACTTAAAAATCAATAAGTTGGCCCCATAGTTATCAAATCCTACATCCGTCCGAATTCAGCTCCTTTTTGTTATTACACAACGTGAAAAGCTATAGTTTGGTGCTCTCTTCCAACCAAATGAAGATCTTGGCTTAAACTATACTCACCATTCTGCTCCTGTGTCTTGCACGGCGGTCAAGAACATTGTAGGGCGCGTTTGGTTTCATGATGGAGTCAGCCAGGCTCGTGCCAGAGGAGCCAGGTTCCCGGCAGCCGGGCTGAGCACATGCACCGCATTTTGTTTGGTTGTCCACGCGTGCGTAGCCTGGTTGCAGTGGGCTCTTGTTTGGTTAAGCGCATGCAAGCCATCCAGTGACTTTTTCCTCTCACAGATGCGCGCGCTCACATGCCTGCTCTGTACCGCATGAGCCTGGCCGAGTTGGCTCCGCATCACCAGAGCCAGGCCGGGAGCTCACTTTTGCATTGCATGGGCCAGGTCCGACAGGTGCACCAACCAAACAAACCAACGATCTCGCATGCGGAAGGCGTGGCTGAGGGCCGCAGCAGGCAACCAAACGCGCCCTTAGCTGCTCTGTGTGTGCATCCTTTCCTTTGCTGCTAAATCAATGGCTGTAAGCTTGTGATCCACAGTTTTGCTGGGGGTAGGCAGTACAGCATCTGTGCTTGTTAGTTATTGGAATTGTTCTTCACATAGCCCTTGATTTCTCTGAAAGGTAATGGATTCTGATGTTATTAACTTGTAAATGCACTTTTCAGGTTCTCCGCCAAAGCCTTGGGAGCGTTCTGGAGCCGAAGGAACATCCGGTCCAGCACCTTTCAAGCCCCCATCTGGTGGAAGCACTGGTGATGTTGTTGAAGCTTCTGGTACCGCTAAACCCGGCGAAAATGTTACTGCGACGGAGAGGAATGTCTCTTCCAATGTAAATAGCACTGTTTCGAGGCCTATGCCACAGCGGCCTTGGCAGCAGACAGGCTATGGAAACACCTATGGAGGTATTCAATGTTTTCACTTATTTCGTGATTGTGGTTGTTTTAGGGACATGATTTCAGTCTCAGACTGACATTTGCAATTTGCCTTTTGGGTGCAGGATATGGTGGATCCAACATGTATAATTCATATGGTGGATTCGGCAACACTTACGGTACCGGTGGACTATATGGAAATAGCATGTATTCGAGTCACGGAGGAGGTTATGGTGGTGGCATGTATGGTGGTGGGATGTATGGAGGAGGCATGTATGGCGGGATGGGAGGTTATGGCGGTTACGGCATGGGCGGAATGGGTGGCATGGGTGGTATGGGCATGGGTCCATACGGTAATCAGGATCCAAATTCAATGGGCCCTCCTGCATCCCCTCCAGGTTTCTGGGTGTCCTTCCTACGAGTGGTAAGATACTTTTTACCACACATGCCCATTAATTGTTATTTGGAATTTATAATTGATCATTATGTAGAATTGTTGTAGTTGATCCGGTGCATGTTAAATTATGATACAGCACATGAATATGCCCATTCACATGAGGTATTGGTCAACCATTTGCAGTGCCACTACACTTACAAAATGTCCAATCACCGCACTTTTTATTTCCAGAAGGACCCAAGCAAGCCAATTTTAAACTTATACCTTGTGAATCCAAACGACCATCTTTTATTTACCATGAAATCAGAAATCCTGACTGTTATAAATTCTGAGAGTAGCAGATTTACTACTAGCTTTAGTTACATGGGTCTCTTAAGTTATTTCCACCAGTACTTATCATGTATGCACTGTTTTTCATTGCTATATGATCTGTGTGCTTTAATATGCTCATATCATACTGGTGTATTTACTAGTTTTATTAGTGAAAGTATTTGGTTTCATCTTTGCAATATGCAACAGTAATTAAGGTACACAACGATTCTTATGAAGCAAGAACAGCCACTTGTTTATTGCATTAAATCATGCTTAATCTTAACACCTTAAACTGGCTTGAATGGCTGCAGATGCATGGTGTTGTCAATTTCTTTGGGCGAATCTCATTCCTTGTTGAACAGAACACTCAAGCATCCTATTTTTTCATGACAGCAATGCTGCAGGTATTTTTTTTCCTTACATGTATTTTCTGCTGTCAGTATTCGAATCAAATAAGTCACTCATCTTCGTACTAAAATTGTTGGTATCATGGTGTTGGCCAGCTCTTCGATCGGTCTGGTATGCTCTACGGCGAACTTGCACGGTTTGTGTTGCGTTTGCTAGGAGTCAAAAGAAAGCCAAAGAAGGGCAGTCTTCAGGGACCACAAGCGCAGGCATTCGAGGGACCTAGCCAACAGTTCATCGAGGCACCAAAAGCAAACAACTGGGACAACGTCTGGGGAAACTAAGATGCCTACGAGTGGAATGAGTTCTATCATATAGAAACATACAGTTTAAGGGGCAAGGGCTATGGGAGTTTTGCCTGCCTTTTGGATCACCAGGAAGAAGAGTGTGGTCAGATATCCTTTTGTGGCAACAACTAGGGGAAGTTGTGAAGAAATTGCTGGGTCTCTTCTGCTTTTCACAACTTTGCCTTGATGTACCTGTGAGGGCCGTGGCCAATGACACTGGTATGGTAGGGTTTCATCGCAACTGTAAGGTTGATGAACGGTTTCACAGTGCACTGATATGGTAGCTGCTGTTGTGATATCAGTGTGGGTATTGGTTGTATATCTCTCTGGGTAAATAGTAGTAGTCGCCTTCAAAAAGAATACAGCAAATGTTTGTGTACCTTTACAGTCTTGTCTAATTTGGTTTTGAATTTGCACTTGATGTGAGTCCCCCATGCAAGTATCAAATTCTGTTGTGATGGTACCTTCTGTGAATATGCTTGGTAACTTAACTGACAGCAGACAAAAAAAAAAAACTGACTGCAGACAAAAAAAGAAAATTAAATAGGTCAGGTCACACACAGAATTCCTGAACTTACTGGACCAACTGGCGATGTGCTATCAAGTATATGCCTCTGCCGAAGCATTTTTGACCCTCAATCCTGGCCGTCCCATGCCAACAAAGTAGCAAAAAGGTGACATGCTGCCTGCCACGTATAACAACCGGAAGTAAAAACGTTCTGAAAAGAAAGAAATCCTGAAAAATGGGAGCATTTTGTGTGACAAGGCAATGATAACATAAATTCAGTTTCAGAATAATCAATCTGTTTGTTTTCCTGGTGACGGAATGCGAGCAAGCTGTGGTGCAGAAGCGGATGAGGAAGTAGTGTAGGAGAGCTACCCTCGCTTCCCACCTCCAGCGTCTCATCCATTCCGCAGACAAACACATCTTTTTCCCAGCACTTCCATGGACAAACAATTCCGGTCGCTTTGTCTGTACATGCAGATTGCAGAAGGCTCCAAGAGCGAGCACCTCATCTCTTATATTACTCTCACGTCTCACCTCCACCACACCCTTCATTTCTTGCTCCCGCTGGTCTGGTCTCCACACGCTTTGTCTGTTCTGCTGCTGCAAGGTAACAACAGACTAGCTCCCGTTTCTTCTCTTCATTCAGATGAAGCCAGCTGCACCTGGGCTGCAAGCATTCACTGTCAAGACTGAGTAGTAACTGGATTGGCTCCTTGTTGTACAGTGGAAGAAGAAGCGCAGGTGTCGCGGAGCCTGCCTATCGACGACGCCAGCATGGGAGAGATCACCAATGTCATGGAGTACCAGGCCATCGCGAAGCAGAAGCTTCCGAAGATGGCCTACGACTACTACGCGTCCGGCGCTGAGGACGAGTGGACGCTGCAGGAGAACAGGGAGGCCTTCTCCAGGATCCTGTGAGCTCCGTCTCCTTCATCTCACTTTGCTATCCTATATTCTTCCTATGCTTCAGCTGGTGTAGGATCCAGCAGTTCTTGAGATAAGATAACCATGACAGTTAATAAATTAGAAGGTGGGAAAAAAAAGGGCCATAAGAGTTCTGTTCATTGATCAGGCTCTACTATTCTTTCAGCTGCTTACTTATCTATTTAGGGTGGAATTTTTGTACAAGTTTGTTTGGAAAACATGTGCTTCGCTACTGTTATCTTCATTCGATAAAAACAAACTGTGTAGCGGGGGTTCGATCGACACTTCACTGTTTTACTCATCAGCTCAAGTTCATCCTAAAGCTACAACTTTAGTAGCAAAGGAAAAGGACAGCTAGCCTAAGCTTTCTCAGTCAGTTTTCATGCTATCTGCACTTTAGAGTTTTTTTTTTTTTTGTTATTCAACATACTGAAAGTCTTGTCAGAGCCATTCATTGCAAATGTCCAAGGACCAAGGGTGCAAACATTTGAAGGACACAAATAAATGGCACTCCGGTTACTGTACAGTTGATTGTTCAACAAGTTCTCACAGATGCTCTGTTTTGGAACGTGAACATTTGTGAAATCTCTTGCGCTTCCTTCATTCAAATATATCGCTTCAGAGCTGCACCGTTGCTCATCTGTTGTGAAAATCTGTGTTTTCGCTAGGTTCCGTCCACGCATACTGATCGACGTGTCCAAGATCGACATGACCACCACCGTGCTGGGATTCAAGATCTCCATGCCCATCATGGTTGCCCCCACTGCTATGCAGAAGATGGCTCACCCAGATGGTATGCCGCTGTAATTTTGTAGGATTTCGTTTTGGATCGGTTGACACACCTATATATATGCTCCACACAACAGCATAACATGTTTAATAGGAGTAGTTCTCTAAGAAAACATGTATAATAGTAGATTAGTAACTGGCAAGCTTCACCTTCCAACAAGCTTGTGAATTCCTCTCGCCTCTCATCCTGCATTTTTTGAGCTGAAACCATCTTTGTCCTGCTTTCAGGGGAGTACGCCACAGCGCGCGCCGCAGCTGCAGCAGGCACTATAATGGTCTGTAGATGTCACAGTGGTTAAAAACAGAATTGTACCATACACAACAGAGTGATGTATCTATGCTGATGGTACTGAACATACCTCCATGGCCTGTTCTTTTTCAGACATTGTCATCCTGGGCAACTTCAAGCGTTGAGGAGGTTGCCTCAACTGGGCCAGGGATCCGCTTCTTCCAGCTCTATGTAAATACATTGACACTTCACTACTACTGTACAACATAAGTATACCAGCTTACCTTACCAATGGCCATGAATGCACATTGCCATGAACCTTTTGTAGGTCTACAAGGACAGGAAAGTGGTGGAGCAGCTTGTGAGGAGAGCTGAAAGGGCTGGGTTCAAGGCCATCGCGCTCACCGTCGACACCCCGCGCCTTGGCCGCAGGGAAGCTGACATTAAGAACAGGTGAGCTGGGCTAGCTTCGCAATAACCATTTGCTTTGCTTCAACACAGCTGCACGGACTAATGGTGATATTAGTCTAGTACAATGTACTGAAACATCATCAGAAAGATAGTGCTATAAAAGACGCATATGGCAGGGTTTCAGACAGGTATGCTAAATGTGGCTGCTATTGCTGCAGATTTGTTCTGCCACCACACCTGACACTGAAGAACTTCGAAGGTCTGGACCTCGGCAAAATGGACCAGGTGAACTCAACTGAGCTCAAGTTTCAGTGCAGTAGTACATTGCAGATAGCCTCCGTATGGATATGGAGTTATGGACACTCTCTGATGGAGTTTTGTGTGCGCCCCGAGCCTGAGCAGGCTGCTGATTCAGGGCTGGCTTCCTACGTCGCCGGCCAAGTCGACCGCACCCTGAGCTGGAAAGACGTGAAGTGGCTGCAGACCATCACCACGATGCCGATCCTCGTCAAGGGTGTGATCACTGCTGAAGACAGTAAGAGCTCTCTCTCTCTCTCTCTCTCTCTCTCTCTCTCTTCTGTCACCTCACCTCACCTCTCTGCTTCTGCTTGTTTCATCAGACAGTCGATGGGTGGAAACACACAGGCAGCTGTATGGCTAACTGAAGTACCTGATGATCGATGCATGCTGTGGGCTAATATAATGTCGTTGCATTGCATTGCATTGCATCGCAGCGAGGCTTGCGGTGGCGAACGGCGCGGCGGGGATCATCGTGTCCAACCACGGCGCGCGGCAGCTGGACTACGTGCCGGCGACCATCAGCGCGCTGGAGGAGGTCGTGAAGGCCACCCGGGGCCAGATCCCCGTGTTCCTCGACGGCGGCGTCCGCCGCGGCACCGACGTCTTCAAGGCGCTCGCCCTCGGCGCCGCCGGCGTATTCGTAAGCTAGCTAGCACTGAACAGTGAACCCGCAGACGTCTAACGTCTTCCTGCTGTCGGAGTTTGTTTGTTGACCGGTGCACGCATGCACGCGGTTGGTTGTTGCAGGTCGGCAGGCCGGTGGTGTTCTCTCTGGCGGCGGCGGGCGAGGCCGGGGTGTCCAACGTCCTGCGGATGCTGCGGGACGAGTTCGAGCTCACCATGGCGCTCAGCGGCTGCACCTCCCTCGCCGACATCACCCGCAACCACGTCATCACCGAGTCCGACAGGCTCCGCGTCATGCCGTCGCGGTTGTAGATGATCGATCAATGAATCACCTGTTACGCTCGCTACGCCGCTGGCCGCCCTCGCTCCTCGCGAGGCTCACCGTCGGTCCTCGCCGCCGGCCGGCCGGCCGCGAACGAAGACTTATCACCCCGATCGGGGATATTCAGTTCGTGCATGGATGCTCGATGATGATACTATAATCTTGGACCCCATATATGTTTCGTTTCAGAAATGAACGATCACTGTACATATTGCATACATGGTGTGGTGTGCATCTTAATAATGGCGCATGATGATCGCTGTATTTCACCAAACATTTCTTCCACATCTTCCTTTATGTGTTGTGAGTGAATGAAGAACAAAACAACATTTTGCTTGCCATCAGAAGAACGAAACAGAACAAACTGTTAAACCCAATCAAATTCCAATCTCGTCGAAAATAAACAAACTATCTCTTCCTTTTACGTTTGAAAAAAAGGGAATAAACCAACTATATATACTCTACACTGTGAGCAATGCATGCATGCCCCTCATGTGAACCAGATTTTTTTTTAAAAAAGAGCTCTTTTATCTAGCTAGCTAGCAGACGACGACGACGTCAGCAAGGCCGGGCGGTTAGGTTAGTGCCTCATCGCCTGGCGGCCGGCGGCGGCGTAGGGCGGCGCGACGGCGGCGGCCGTCCTGGCCTTGCGTTTCTGCAGGAACAGCTGCAGCGACCGCTTCATGGACAGCCCGGTGGGCGCCGCCGGGTCGATCTCGAGCACCGGCGCGGCTACGGCGCCGCCGGCGAAGCCACCCTGCCGAGGAGAACCAACGACGCCGGCGGAAGCTAGCAGCGGCGACGGCGTCAGCGCCACTGCCGCCGCCGCTGCCGCCGGTCTCACGAGGCCTCTGTCGCGCGCGCACCGCCGCGCCACGGCGGCACTGCTGCTGCTGCTGCTGTTACCGTCACCGTCCTGCTGGCGGCGGCGGCCGTCGTCGCCGTCTCCCCGCATCAGCTGCTGCCGCCGCCGGTGGTCCGCCGCCAGGGTCTCCTCGCTCGCCTTGGATATGATCGCCCTTGCCTGATGCGCCAACACAGCAGTAAAACCGTACGTACACACCGATCAGTAACTTGGAGCAGTAATTACACGTGTTCAGTTTAATTAACTACTGTATTAACCAGAGTTGAGCTAATGCCGACGCGCGTGCATGCTGTTGCAGAAATCGACGTGCATAAAAATCGTCAGTCGTCAAAGTCAAAAAGAAGGCACGGCTTTTTTTTTTTTCCTCCTCGACGTGATGGTTTGGTTCTGTGCGAGTTCGTTCGTCGTTAGCGCGCGTTGTTTGCGTGTGTGGAGATAGGAAGATGGCGGCAGATGGAGACGAAGACAAATTGTGGCGGGAGGCGAAGTCTAAGACGAGACATTATTGTTATGACTTAGAGTACGTGTACGATCGAGAGTTGATCATCACAGCTTTTATAGAGTGGTTAATTGCGGTGTTATCTGGTCAACGACCCAGCTACCAGCTGACGCTATGCATGCGGCGCGTATATGTGTCCCCTTGATTTGGCGCAGCACGTGCAGAATTGTTTTGTGAGAATTTTCAACGGCGACCGAGCCATGTTAGCTGCAACGACTGAGACCTCGACAGCAGTCACAACATCTGCTGCCTCCGTCTCAAACTAAGTGACGTCTTTACTTTTGTATATTGTGTTTGACCATTTGTCTTATTTAAATTTTTTTAAAAATTATAAAATAAATAAATCATTATTAAAGTATCTCTAATGATAAAATAAATCATAACAAAATAGATAATATTTATACAAAAAATTTGAATACGATGAACGGTCAAACAAAATGTCTGAAAGTAAAAAAAGTCACTTATTTTGGGACAGAGGGAGTAGCTCACACCATCAGATGCTCAGTTTTCTTTTATGGAATATGTGCGCCGGTCCGAGGTAAAAATTCTCAACGTAGCAAGTGTGTCCGTGTTTTATTGATTTATTCTACTCCCTCTATTTTGAATTGTAAATCATTCTAATTTTTTTAGACACATAACTTTTACTATATTTCTAGATATAGTAATATATATTTAGGTCAATAACAAAAAAATAAAATATATATTTAGGTTAATACTAAAAGTTATATGTTTGGAAAAGTTAGAATGACATGCAGTTTGTCATGGAGAGAGTCTGAGTGTGGAAAAGGCCTCGTTTTTAACAGGACTATTTTCTTAGTGGTTAGAGGCCTGCCTGTTAACAACGTCGAGTGTGGTGGTTGTCAATTTTAAGATACGATGGCTCAATCTCTTGGAGGTGCTTATAGATATAGCGTGTGTGTGCATTTATAGAGGTGAGAGTGTATGTGTGTGCGGAGTACCTTTGTCTTTATTATTTTACCCAAAAAAAAAGTCCTAAGTCAGGCTAGCTCAATACCAGATTTAACCTGTTTTTGTCCAACAAACATTTGGGTTGGTCTGAACACTAATTCTTGGGAGATTTATGTCACTCTTTTTCTTTGAACATGTAATCTTTCTTCTTCCTTTTCTTTCGGGGTATCTGTATGAATTTCTAGTGTTTGCAACCGATCATTCTTCTTTTTACCAATATAATATAATAATGTTGTATTATGTCATTACTGGCAGCAGTATGTATGTCTATAGGTTGATCAAAAGAAATTAGTACGTGGTGAACGAAAATGACAGAACCAGCACAGAGGTCATCCAATTTACTACTTGTAAGTTGTAGCACCCAAAAAGGGTTGTTGAAGTATTATTAAACTTTCATGTCCCTAGACTGAACTGAACCGCATGATCACGCCGGGGATTTAAAGGCAAATTGCAGATGAGTTTTGTGCATGAAAATCGGCTGTTTTTTTTTATTATTTTACAAAACCAGCACAAACTGAACGGTAGGAAGATGACGAGTTCATGCGAACTTCGTGATCCGGGTGTGTATATACCAAGAATAAGGACTACATGCCGTGCGTGCGTACGCCATGGCAGACTTGAGAGAGCAGCAAGCTAGCTTGTTGCGAATTACTTGAACATGCAGATTAATCCTCATCGCATCAGGTGGGATCGCCAACTGATACTGATATATGCTTGCGTGTGCTTTGATGAATGGATTAACCAGGAGATGAGGAGAGGACAAGGCCTAGGCGAGGTAGCAGTAGTGATGATTAATGAATGAATTAATTACCTGGACCTCGGTGACGTCGACGGCGCACACCCGGCCATTGTAGAAGATGGTCATGTTCCTCCTCGCCTCCGCCGGCAGCAGCGGCAGCGGCAGCGGCGGCGGAGCACTAGCGGCACCATCGTCGTCGTCCGCCGCCCCCGTCCTGAGCCGCAGGCTGAGCTCGACGCCGCCGCCGCTGCTCCCGTGACTACTGTCCTCCTCGTCACCGCACCCGGCGCCGCGCCACCACCGTCGCTCCTGCCCCGCCGCCGCCGCTCCGGCGACGCCACCGTCGTCGCTGTCCCTCCCGCCCTCCATCACTAGCTCTAGCTAGCAACTAGCTGATCCTCCTCGGCTCCTCTCGACGATCGACTAATAGGCAGATGGAGCCAACAAGCCTTCATCAGTTGGTCGTCTCCTCCCTTCCCCTCAACTCGGTCACCGGCAAGCAAACGTTTTGTCACGGCGCGCACGTGGAGAACGCGCGCGCGCGCCCGAGGGAGACGGCGCGGCGCGGGCTGCCTGCCTGGCTGGGCTGGCCGCGCGGGGCCGACTAGTGCGCTGCGGCGGGCGGTGGGGGTGCCTTCCAATCCTTTTTGGTCTCTCTTTCTTTCTCTGCTTTGTCCGTTTATTTCAACGTGCAGCTAGCGGCTGGTTTCTGCGAGCGATTTCCATGCTCCATTTCGTCCAAACCACACACACACACACACAGGCTAATCCGAATCAAAACAAAAGACTTGACCGCTCGCTAATTAATTACAAACGTGCGTTTTCCTCTCTCGGCGTAAAAAATCCATATTATTTCGCCGCCCTTTTCTTTTTACTGTCGGCAGGAAGACGCACGCAGACATATACGCATATGCATGTGTGTGTGTTTTCTTTTGCCTCTGTATCTGTGGTCATGGGGTTTAGCGACGTAAAGTCACACGTGTCGTGACCTGAACGGGTGGATTACGGTTGGTTGGTTGGTATTTGGTAACAGGCGCATGTGTTCTGTCTTCTTTTTCGAAGCTACATATATTTTTTTGAGAAAAAAAACAAAAAACGTGTTCTGTGTCCACCGTCACGTACTCCTGTCCGGTATACGTGCCCGTCACGTTTAGACGACGGTGAGCCGGCGAGGACCATTTTAGTTAAGATGAGACTGCTCTTTGATTCAATTTGATTTATTTCTTTTTGTCGTTATTACGTACTTGTTCCCCCCAATTTCGCCGGCTCTTTTCCGGCCGACGTGCAGTGTGTGTTAGATGTAAAGTTTGTAACGTGTAAACATGCATGACACATATGTAATCTGCTAACATGGAAACCTGTCATGGCGCTAGGATTGGGGTTGATTGGTAGTTGCCTTGTAAATAGGATCTGCTAGGATCCCACCTGCGCCTAGAAGGTTCCATGGGCGCACATATGTAGTGCCACGGATGGGGCTGTTCCATCCACTGATTCAACACGCAACATCGTCGGAAGTCCCCGACGTTCAACTACGCAAGTTCTGCCCTCTGTTATTCTTCATGGTAATCAGAGCCAATTCCACCTAGAAACACCTCGCCGCAATGTCGTCCTCTTCAGCCCTCCCGCCCAACCCTCTCTTGGCCATGGCCATCACCGAAAAACTCACCAGGACCAACTACCCTATCTGGGAGGCTCAGGTCCTCTCGACTATCAAAGGTGCTCGCGTTTATGGGCACCTTACTGGATCCATGGTGGCGCCAGAGAAGAAGATTGCGGACAAGGAAGGCAAGCAGATCCTGAATCCAACGTTCGAGGAGTGGGAGTCCCGGGATCGCCAGACTCTCGGCTTCCTCTTCGCCCGGCTTTTCAGGGACATCCTTAGCCACATCGCCAAGTCCAAGACGGCAGCACAGGCTACATGGGAAAAGATTGAGGCGATGTTCGCCTCACAGACCGTGCTTTCGTGGCAAAGTGAATGCTGCGATCGCTCTTGCCAATACCAAGAAAGGTAATCTCTCCGCCATCTTGAATATTTCACTAAGATGAAAGGTTTCAGTGATGAGATGGCGGCGGCAGGGCGATCTATCACCGACGACGAGCTGGTTGAGTACATTCTCACCGGATTGCCCGCGGAGTATGAGTCGCTGGTTACCTCTCTCGTTACGAGGGTGGAATCGGTGACGCTTGATGAGCTGTATGCACGGCTCCTCAACTTCGAGACCAGGATAAATCTGGTCCATGGCGGCGAACAGACGTCGGCCAATCTGGCCGGTCGTGGAGGCGGGAGCGGTTCAAACCGTGGTCGTGGCTCCCACGTGGGCGTGGTCGCGGTCCTCCTAGCACTGGAGGCCGTGGTCGCGCCCAAGGATCCAGCACCAACAGTCAGCAACGCGGCGGCTTCAACAACAACAAGAAACATGACAAGCCAATCTGCCAAGTGTGCGACAAGGAGGGGCACACCGCCCTTTGTTGCTGGTACCGGTTTGATGAAAACTACACAGATGAGAAGGTAGGGGCGGCGGCTTCAAGCTCCTACAACATCGACAACAACTGGTACACAAACACTGGTGCCTCTGATCACATCACCAATGAACTTGAGAAGCTGGCGGTTCGTGAGAAGTACAACGGAGGAGATCAGATCCACACTGCGAGTGGTGCAGGTATGGCAATTAGTCACATTGGTCAGTCTATGATTACTACCCCTAGCCGTAACCTTCTTTTGAATAATGTTCTGCATGTTCCCGAGGCACACAAAAATCTTATATCAATTCATCGTTTCACATCTAACAACTCAGCATTCATGGAATTTCATCCAAATTATTTTTTGGTAAAGGATCTGGACACCAAGAAAATTCTGCTTAAGGGTCCGTGTCGGCACGGACTGTATCCACTTCCTTCCACTTCAGCAATAAAGCAGGCCTTCACCGCGTCCAAACCATCCCTGTCCCGGTGGCATGAGCGTCTAGGTCATCCTGCATCTCCTGTAGTTCGTCAGATTGTTAGTAATAATGAATTGCCATGTACCTCTGATTCCATTCATGAGTATGTGTGCGATGCGTGCCAGCAAGCCAAAGCACATCAGTTACCATATCCCATATCCACCAGTGAGTCTAGTGCACCTTTAGATTTGGTATTCTCTTATGTGTGAGGTCCTGCTCTTGAGTCTGTTGGTCACAAACAGTATTTTGTGAGTTTTATTGATGATTACAACAAGTTTACATGGATTTATCTTATAAAGTTTGAGTCTGAAGTATTCCAGAAATTTCAAGATTTTTAGAACCTTGTTGAGAGGTTATTTGATCGAAAGATCAAGGCTGTCCAAACGGATTGGGGTGGTGAATATCAGCGACTTAATTCCTTTTTCACCAAGATTGGTATTTCGCATTTAGTCTCATGCCCGCACGCAGATCAACAGAATGGTGCTGCGGAGCGAAAACATCGACATATTGTTGAGGTCGGGCTTGCCCTTCTCTCCCATGCGTCTATGCCCTTGAAGTTTTGGGATGAAGCCTTCATAGCCGCAACATACTTAATTAATCGCCTGCCAAGCAAAGTCATTGCCTCCTCCACGCCTCTAGAGTGACTATTTCATCAAAAACCAAATTACTCAGCCCTCCTAACGTTTGGGTGTGCTTGTTGGCCAAATCTCCGACCATACAACACACACAAGCTTCAATTCTGATCCAAACAATGTGTCTTCCTTGGCTATAGTGTTCTTCACAAAGGATTCAAGTGTCTAGATGTATCTTCTGGACGGGTATATATTTCTCGCGATGTAACATTTGATGAAAATGTGTTTCCCTTTGCAAAGTTACAACCCTAATGCAGGCGCACGGCTAAGGCCAGAAATTCTCCTGCTTCCGTCTGAAACAACGGCTAATCCTGGGGCTAGTGACATAGCTGATCAATCCACTAATATGCCAGTTAGCACTGTTAAAAATTTTGAGCGTAGGAACTCTGGATATCAAGAAAATCTAGCATCAAATGATACTTCTACCGGCTGCACGGAGTTCCAGGAGGATTCGGTGGAGACAAACGGCGCAACGCCTTCTGCGCCAGGTTCTGCATCTGCGCCAACATCCCCCTCGGGATCGTGGCGTGAGACTCCCGGGCCCTCGCCTGGCCACGCGCTTTCTCCGTCTGGCGAACCCAGGGGCGCCACGCCTCCTTCGCTCTCGTGCGTGGGCCTCGATGGTGGGCCACTCACCGAATCTGCGGGTGCCACGGCCTCGCCACGTGACGACACCGACAGCGTGGGCATCTAGAGCCCTGCGTCATCCACGGACACGACAGGTGCATTGGGGGCTCAGCTTCCGGGGGAGATTTCCTCGCCAGGATCTGCTGTGCCGCCAGATGCTGTGCACCGCCCTACAACGCGTCTTCAACGGGGCATCAGAAAACAAAAGGTATACACCGATGGAACCATTCATTATGGATTACTAACTTCCACTAGTGAACCTTTTGGTCTTGACGAGGCATTAGCAAACAAGAATTGGAAAGAGGCCATGAACTCTGAGTATGCAGCACTAATGAGGAACCATACATGGCACTTGGTTCCACTGCAGAAAGGAAGAAATGTAATTGGGTGCAAATGGGTTTACAAGATTAAAAGGAAGGCTGATGGGACTTTGGACAGGTATAAAGCTAGGCTAGTAGCTAAAGGGTTTAAACAGAGATATGGTGTCGACTATGAAGATACATTCAGTCCGGTTATTAAGGCAGCGACAATCCGAGTTATCCTGTCTTTAGCTGTCTCATGTGGCTGGTCCCTTCGGCAGCTGGACGTACAAAATGCCTTCTTACATGGTCTCTTAGAGGAAGAGGTGTATATGCATCAGCCTCCAGGTTTTGAAGATCCAGAGAAACCAAACTTTGTATGCAAGCTGGACAAAGCACTGTATGGGCTCAAACAGGCTCCAAGGGCTTGGTATTCTCGCCTCAGTGACAAGCTAATTCAGTTGGGATTCCAGGCGTCCAAGGCAGACACTTCACTTTTTTACTTTAGCAAGGGAGGCATCACGATGTTTATACTTGTCTACGTCGATGACATCACACGGCGACCTTACTTCAAGATCTTAAAGGGGAATTTGCTCTTAAGGATCTCGGTCCTCTACATTACTTTCTTGGTATTGAGGTCACAAAAGTGCGTGATGGCATTGTTCTCACACAGGAGAAGTATGCATCAGACTTGTTAAAAAGAGTCGGCATGGGAGATTGTAAATCGGTAAACACACCTCTCTCTAGCAGTGAGAAGTTATCTTTGTTTGAAGGAACTCCATTAGGTCCAAGTGACGCAACAAGGTACAGAAGTGTTGTTGGGGCATTACAGTACTTGACTCTCACTAGACCTGACATTGCATTTGCTGTAA